CAGCGGGGCCCTCATGGGTTGCTGACTTGAGCCAGCCCTTTCGTTCCGACGTCTTTTCACGGCCACTCCAAGCTCCGGAGTGTCTCAACTGACCCTGTCTTGCTCGCGAGGTTGCGGCGGCTTGTCGGCTGCCATTGCAGTGGCTGCAGCACATGCCCTCACATACACGGAGGCGCGGGCGGCAGGTGTGTCGGCCCATCTTTTTCACGCTCGCTTTGGGTTGAGGGCTTCGAGTCCTGCTCTCCAGGAGGTCACGCTTCGGAGGAAGGGGTCCTGAGTCCTGGGTCTGAATCGGCTCTGAAGGCTTCCTGCGTGGACGAGCTCCTGCAACAGCTCATCGAGGGACGGGAGGCTGCAACACTTCAACATCAAACCCAACGGACCTGCAGAGCTTCTCACAAAAGCTGGTGAGATGGGTTTGCTGCTACCAGTATCTTGATTGTTGTGAGTGGTCATATCCTTCTACTTCTGGGAATCCGTCTGTCTATTCGTCTCTCTATCTATCGATCTACCTATCTATCTGCCTGCTATGCATCTACCTATTCGCTAGTCTGCCTCTTTGTTTGTGTGTCTGTTGTTCTGCCTGGATGACTGGCTGTCCCGCTGTAGGTCTGTTTGCATGCATGAATGCATGCATGCATGCATACATAACGTACGTACGCATGTATGTCTGTATGTATGCACGCATGTTCCGCTTGTACGACATGTCACACGTGATTTGCATTATGGAACGAGACGAGGTGATGTGACATGATACAGTCTGTGCAGCAGCAGTTTGCGGATGTATTCATTTTGCCTGGGCCAATCCCGGATCCGGATTTCGACCAGCCCGACCCTCTGGAATCCTCACCCTGAGCACTTCTTGCCTTTCTCATTTGGCCCGGGGCCACGAAGAATCCCACCTTGATGGGAGGTGAGCCTCGACAGCTGGCAGAGTGCACTTGAGTGCATGGCGCCTGTTCAGGTGAAGTTCGGTGAAAGTTCACGGTTAGAGTCTTTGTGACTTGGATTGGGATTTTGGGTACAGAAGCGCTTTGACTTCATTCTTGGACGCTTGCGTTCGGGGTCGAGTGCCGATTTACAGGATCTCGCTCCTTCTGCTACAGTACGCTATCTCAAGTAGTTACAGTCATGCAGCGACGGCTGTGCTGAAGACGGTGACAATGTGGTGATGACGAGCATGACCATGCTTATGCTGGCAGAGGAGAAGTAGCAGACATAGCATCAGCAGCCACAGCGGGAGGACCTGTGCAGCTAGCGGCTTTGGCAAGCTCTCGAGTAAATGACCTCGGCCACCACGGCCAAGCTTAGTAGGAAGCTGGGATTTGTCGGTAATGGCAGCAACAAGGCCTACGAATCGAGAGGAGATTTGGGATTTGGCGGAAGCATTTGAAGATTGAGACAAGTTGACCCTGCAACATCCGAACACGTGCAAAAGGCGGCGGCAGCTCCGTCTGTGGTTCGCCAAGATTTCGAAGAGAGGCGCGAAGTTGGCACCCTGGAGCCTCGAGCCTGAATTTGAGCGGCGCGCGCGCCTTGGGCCCAAGCTTTGCTTCGCGATTCCGCGACGGGGGTCATCGCAGAAAGCAGCTCAATCAATGTCTTCTGCTGTTTGCCACCGATGCTGGAATTCCGGATTTGAGTCAGTTGTCAACTGGCAGGGTCGACCCCGGCAACGGCTCGATGTCCGAGCACGATCTTCGGGAGGTGCGGCTGCAGTGCGGGAGGCTCTCACTGAAGGAGCAGGATCAACTTCTCTGTTTTGCTGGACACTCCTCACTAGGTAATTGTCCGGCGGAGGCTTATGATGCGATCGCAGATGAGCCATAAGTGGTAGAAAGGTAATCACAATGCAGGATATACACGCAGAGTCCAAAGAGTGCGTTAAATGGGAATGGCACGACGAGCAGGCACATGCAGCAACAACTTCGCGAGTAAAAGCCAAGAAGCAAAGACAAGCATCCATTGAGGGGCCAATGAACGACATGGGAAAGTCAGAACGCCGAATTCATCCGGAAGCAACACAAACGTCATGGTTGTGACTCCTGGTACAAGACGCTTTAGGGAATCTGCAGGGATCTGCAGCTCAGCTGCTGAATGAAGGCTCTGACTGCAGAGTACTGTGAGCTCCGGGAATTCCAGGGGGAGAAGCTATGCCTGTAAACCGGGAAGCCTTCACTCATCCCATGCAATGGAAGGCGCCCGAAGCGGTCGCAGTTGACAGCGATGCGGGTGCTGTGCACGAAGGGGCTATGCCGGAAAGGACACTGGCAGATGAAAGCCATGGCTACCTGCAGCTCCCTGAAACCTCGTGCTTTTGTTGCTGGTGTCACATCGCGCCTGGCTTCGGGCCTAGGCAAGCCGCTGGACTAATCGTTGATGTGTGGAAAAAGGATACCAATCAAGTGGCCAAGGTGCCGCAAAATGCCAGCAGGTGCCAGTAGCATCCAACAGTGACCTCTGATTTGCAGAATGTCATGCACATTGCCAGTTGCCGCTGCGAGGACGCCCGAGTGGACATACTTCTGTCGGAAGTGTGGCGTCTCAGCCTCAGCGAGCCTGGATTCGCCGATGATGGTACAGCAAAAAAGTGTGCAAGGTGGAGGATCGGGGTGGAAGGTGCAGTAGTCGTAGGTCGACGATGAGCGCTGTCGATGCCTCATCATGCCTCCACGGAAACTCCTGGAAGCACTTTCAGAAGCAAGCCATGGACATAGTTCGGACGTATTTGGTTCAGCTGTCACCACCGCCTAGCCAGAAGCCTTGGTTGCCTTCAGCAATCAGGCAGCCCTCTTCCATGACCTCGATGTCCTCCAGCACCAGCGCGGAGGGCAGCGACAGGCCGTCGCCTTTCATCGTCGTTGCCGTAGTACCCGAGTGATTGTATTCATGTATGGGTGGAGACATCCGGAGACCTGCTGTAAGCATCTGTGTCTCGTCGCATCTTCGTGTTGCAATCTGCGAGGCTGGCTACGGGGACTGGCGCGCCGATCGCCAGGCTGAAGCTGCCGCCGGCACCAAGGTCGACTGCACCTCATTGCCACGCGGCCCCGGAAGTGATGGGTTGATGGGTTGACTACTTAGTTACTTGAGCCTTAGAGCGGAGGTCAACGGAGTGGACGAGGTTCAGTTCGAGCAGACTTGAGTGGATACCTTCCGACCTATATGTCGCCTATACCGAGGTTCGTGCAGCCCATGAAGTGCGAGGCTCAGAGGTATGAACAATCCGATTGTGGTCGATGCGCCTGGTGACCTGCAGCATGGGGTTCTTGCATTGGACCGGAAGGACAGCTTTCGTGTTGCAAGCGATGCCGGAGTCCCAGGTGGATGGGCGACCTGCACGACCAGAGTGGGCGCCCAGCCCCAAGTCGACAATCTTTGCCTTCAGTCTGAAACTGGGCTCCAAGGTAGGACAGGCCTTCCACACCTGCGCAGCGAATCACGTTCCATCATGAAGCCGAGCCGCAATCCGCTACCGTCCACGCATGCGGCACTAAGCGAGTGTCAGGCCTCGTCTGCGGCAACAAAACCTGCAAGCAGAAGCTCGGGGGCTTCAGTCAATGCCCTCAGCTGGGTTTGGATCCCTTTGCACATGGGTGCAAGTCTTGTCTTCAGTCGTGAACACAGATAACGCAGGCTCAACACTTGTTGCTCATGTTGAATGCGGTTTTGGTGTATGGCGGTTGAAACGGCGATCCTGGACATTGAGCAGTCTCTACTTCTCACAAGAGGTCTCTGTGCGCTCGGGAGGAGGATGGCCATAAAGGATTTTGGTTTCAGCAGCTTCGTAGCATCCAGACAACGGTGCACATAGATTCCCGCACATGCTACAGGTTATTTGCTTCCATGTAGTAACCTTTTACAGTCTGATGTGCGGCGCGCTGTGCACTGCGCTGTTGACAAGATCGCTCTTGCCATAGCTGCACTTTGCTGTCTACCTTGATATGCTGCACCATCCGGAGTGTGCTACATTGCGATCTATGGTGATGTGTCTCTGTCTGTTTGTGTTTGTGACCTTTCTTTACCCCAAGTTCAGGCTTCAATACCTCCATGCTGTACATGTTGCGATTAGGCATGCCGGAACAGAGACAGTCCTCAACCAGGCTGGCATGGCCTTCCATGCTCGTGCGGCGAATGGCAGCGGCTCGGGCTAAGCATGGCTCCAGGTTGTTCTTAAGGAATTTCTGCTGGCACATCCTAAGTTGCAGCTGTGTCCCTCAAACGTACTTCTTCAAGCACGTCGCGAACGGTTTTTTTCTTGGAGGTGATTCCTTTTCAGATGATGAGTTAGTGCCTAGGTCAAGGTCTTGTTTCCGACGGGAACTTCTACCCACACGTCATGCGATCAGGCTGCAAACTGGTGGCCCCTTTCCATCGAAGCAGCAGCACAGTACCTAGCAACTTAGTGGAAGATGCTAAAGGAGAAATCCTCTGAATACAGTGGCGTGCGTTTGTAGCTGTAGGGGAGGGGTCGAGGAGCAAGATTCTTCTACAGCAGAGGTCCACGACAATCCTCGTGGGAAACACCCGGAAACTTCAAGCCTGCCTCAATCTCCACTACAACTGGAAGCCTGCAGAGGGCAACCAAACTCCTTCCGTGCAACCGACTTCCCAGAACTGCTTGACAGGAGCCCTGCATTTCAGATTCACTGCGCGCGTGGGGCGCCGAGATCACGAGACACTGAAAGTTCTGAAGCACAGAGACTTCAGAGAGCTTTCGGTCAAGGAGCTGAGACCTGTGCAGGTTGAGGGGCGAGTGCTGCAGATTTCCAGCTCGGGCAAAGTCACTCAGCGTGTTAACCCCTACACCCCCCCGCAAAGCTGCTCCGTAGCTGCACGCGCCAAGGAGGATAAACAACAACTCGTGCGCTTGGACTCCCCTGCTCCCCTGTGCAGTTTCAAGCTGTTTCCTTTGTTGGGGCCAAAAAACCTTTGAAGCCCGCCACGCCCTTTCTTTTGAGCCATTGGAGCACCCTCGAGCTCGGAAGGGCTTCAAAGCCATGGATGTTTGGCAGGAGGCGCGACAAAAACCACCACTCCCTCCCGAACAGGCTTAGATGCAGGCTCTTTGGGAGGGCAGTCCATCCCGGCTGCGAGGTGGGTCGAGCACCTGCCGGCGTTTGCACTCCCTGCGTTCTGGCCGTAGCTCTTGCAGCTCACCTGTGCCTCGGCGAATGTGGCCTCCGGAGGCGCTTTACGAACATCGGGGGGGGTGGGGGGGGTGTGCTTCATGCATCGAGCGATGCTTCTTCTGGACCTTCACGACCTCCCCGCCCCTCACTTCCCTCCCTCCCTCCCTCCCTCCCTCCCCCCCGCCCTCTCTCTCTCTCTCTCTCTCTCTCTCTCTCTCTCGCTTGCGCCCCCTCCCGATGCGAGCACCGAGGAGAGGCAGCGGGCGGCTGCTGAGGGACTGCATTCCTTCCGAGGAGACTATGACATGCTGCTGCTGCAGTGTTGTCAACTGCATTGGCACGTTCCGAGGTGCAAGACTGCCCAAAGCAACAAAAGACAACATGGCATGTCGCAGAAGCATGCCAGTCGCAGAACTGAGCTTCCGTGCGCATATACTTGTAGTGCCGTTGACTGGAGTGGCCTGGAGTGTCTTTATCTGTAGCTGTACCAGAACTGCATCTATACTCTATACCTAGGCCTTTATGCAAATTTGTTTGAACAGGAGCATACATACAGAAAGGCCCCCAAGCGAATCTAGAACCTACAAAATCTGATCAACAAGAAAAGAAGCCATCGATACGAGGGGTTAGCCTTCACTCGGTGGGCCCTTAGGAGCTCGATGAGAAGAGGAAGGAGGCCATGATGGAACAGCATAAGCCTTTCTGCACCCTCCTGATCTTGGGGCTCAGCAGCTTGGTGCTCCAATGCTTAGCAATGCATTTCGTGTGCTGAGGGAGGGCAGGCGTACAGCAGTACTTAGTTCGTGCATCGCACCTTTCTTTCTGCCGAGAGTGGATGCATGAAACCGGTGACAAGGGCTTGTGGTTGCTCCTGTTTCATAGGCCTAGTCTTGTCAGATGGATTTTGCGTCTTTCTGGGCGTGTCGAGTTTGGCATCGCATCTGAGGCTCGGTCATTCTTCTGACCCTTGGTTTTTTGCGTTGGAGCGGTTCATGCTGGGATGCCGTCGCAGACGGAGCCCGGACAGACTGAGTTCCTGCATATCAGACGGGACCCAGCACAGCCGAGGAAGTACGGCTTCCTTACCTTCAAAGTCCTTCTGAGACCAGCGGCTTGGCCTCCAAAGCAAAGTGAGCACCAAACTCCTTCGTTTTTCTATTCGATCCAAGCGAATAGCACATCTATCAATACTGAACATGAGTTGTGTTTAGTCAGTAGTCTTGGTGGTTGAGAATCTAAACTCGAAGGAGCGCTCCTATGCTTTGCTCCGCAGTTTCTGCAAGTAGCATTCCCGTCGCTGCTATAGTCATAGTCTTATAGTCCTTGTTGCTACTGTTGTTGATGAAGGATGCTGTAGAAATTATGTTATCTAGTCGGACTAGTAGTTCCGTTCGTCTAGGGCATGGACGTTCCTTGCTTTGCTGCGGAGACAACCCAGGAAGAAAGTCTGACCACCTTCGACTTCATCCGGGCTCTGGGAGGGGGTGTCTATCTGCTGGTCTGGTCCATGTTCCTGTCGGGACACATTCAGCTGAGCATTTGGCGCATAAAACTGCTGGCTGTTTCTGTCCACGTCGTGCTCCTCCTGCGGGAGATGTGCCTGGGCTGGGCAGCTCTCGTGGGCGTAGTTCAGCATATTTGCACTTGTTGCAAGCCTTTCCATTCTCCCGCCGAGGACGATGGATTTTCAGGAGGATGCCTTGATGATGGCTTTTCGGGTTACCGCAGGCAGCTCTTTCGTTGACACGCTCTTGAGCAAGAAACACGCTCTCTCCTCAGGCTTGGCTATGATGGATCACTGGCAAGCCCTGCTTTTGCAGCCGCGCCCCCGACTTTAAATCGTCAAGTCCTCAGAGCAGCTCGCAAAAGTCCTGCTTCAGGTCTGGCTTTGTGGTTCTGCGCGCTGCGGCGAAGTACACCACTTCCACCGCGGAAGAGCTGACCATGCACATCGTAGGGGCGGCTGCTTCGTCTTCTTTGCCAAGACTTTGCGGATCAGTGTTCTGTTGGGCAGCGGGCTGCCTGCTAGCTGCAGATTTGTCACGGCGCTGCTCAGGTTCTCCTCTGGGTGATCTGGTTTGCAGTCCAGACCTGCTTGAAGCAGTTCCTCCTCATGACCCAACAGACACTCGGCCATTGGAACACCTTTAGCTATTTAGTTCATGCCTGCCGCATAGTTCAAGCGCAAGTAGCTTCTATTTATATTCAGCCTCGAGCGCTGCAGACTGTAGTTGTGTCGAACCTTTCTATTTGCACGGAATCGTGGAGCCTCACGATTGTTTCGAGGAGGTTGTGGGCCAGACATGACAATTGCCCTTGCTATCGCTACAGCTGAGCTGCTACTCCTGCTACCCGTACTATCGATTTTCTATTGCTACTGTACTTACTGGTACTGTTACTATTAGCCTATGCTGGCTGCTACCCTGTACAAGTAGGTACAAACTGTACTGGATGTGTGTTGTCCCGTTGTTGCATCTCTCTCCCCCTGTCTCTGCCGCTCTCTCGTTGTCCTTGCTTGTTTGATGCTTCATTTTCTTGTTTGCCTGTGTCTTTGCAGCATTCGCATATCTGCTGGGCAAGCCGGCAACATGCTCCTCTGCAGAGAGACTACCGCAAACCGCACCTCAAGCTTTGCGCAAAGTCGCCAATAACAAACCCTAAAACAACCCCAAACCAGGGGTGCAGGTTTCTTGGAGCCAAGTCTTAATCTGTACAGCAGTCGTAGAATCTGCGCAATTCCAGGGTGGCCGATGCCAAAGCTTCACTGGAGGCCGTCAGGGCCCTCTTGTCTAGCCAATGCGATGCCGAGGCTCCCCGCGCCGCAGAAAGTCATGTCCTGACGATTGACCGGTCGAGTCATTTTGAGTGCTTCCGTGCCATCTTCAGATGACGGGGGGTCTGGTGAGGTCAAACACTTGACGAACCAATATGTGGGAATCCTCCATGAACTCGCGATGCCCGGATGTTTTGCTTGCAGCATCTTGCTGCTATTGGTGGATGCTGAGTTTTGTGTTGATGATGCGGGTGATGAAAGTTGATGTTTCCGCGACTGCCAGATGTGCGACAGCTGCTGCTGCTGCGGCTGCTGCTGCGGCTGCAAATGCTTTTGTGCTCAGTCGCGCGAGTGCTTGTGTCGAGCTGCAGAGCCTGCTCTGCTCCTGGTGCTTGGGGCATTTCGGGGCTCTCCACCACAACCGGTTTGAGACCACGTAGTCCAGGCTGATGTTCCAATAGCTCGAAGTCGCTGCAATGTGTGACAGCGCTTCTACAGCGTAGTAGCCAAGCTGGAGGCCTGCCTCAGCTCGGCATTCGTGTTCCAGGCCCGAGATTTTTGGGCCTCGACTGATGGGTGGGTGCAAGTGAGCATTAGGAACTTGTGTGGTCTTGAATCTGACTCAAGTGTGGATTATCACGACACTGAGGTGCTATTCCTGGGTGATGTTTGTCCAGGTAGGAATAATGAATCAGGAAAGCTAGCTCTGTGGAGCCTGCTGGAGTTCTCGTTTACCACTTCACTTCAGTAGTAGAAAACCAGGTCAAATTGGGTCTGGGAGCCCATCTGGTGGGTGTAGCACTAGTTAAACTCGCCGGGGAAGGGGGGGAAGCCACAATGTAAATGATTATTCAGAGGCACTAAGGAGGGGGACCGCCATACAAGGTGGGGGCCTTCGCACTTGTGCGGTCGAGTGATTTGAAGTACTGTGCCACAATAGATTCGCTTGACGAGTTGTTCACCCTGTCCCTGCTGTGCTTCCTTCCCAAGCTCTCGTGGCCTTCTTCTCAAGTAGTAGTAGTAGTAGTAGTAGTAGTAGTAGTAGTAGTAGTAGTAGCAGTAGTAGTAGTAGTAGTAGTAGTAGTAGTAGTAGTAGTAGTAGTGGTAGTAGTCGTAGTAGTAGTAGTAGTAGTAGTAGTGGTAGTAGTGGTAGTAGTAGTCGTAGTAGTAGTAGTAGTAGTAGTAGTAGTAGTCAGTAGTAAGTAGTAAGTAGCAAGTAGCAAGTAGCAAGTAGCAAGTAGCAAGTAGCAAGTAGCAAGTAGCAAGTAGCAAGTAGTAAGTAGTAAGTAGTAAGTAGTAAGTAGTAGGTAGTAGGTAGTAGGTAGTAGGTAGTAGGTAGTAGGTAGTAGGTAGTAGGTAGTAGGTAGGTAGGTAGGTAGTAGGTAGTAGGTAGTAGGTAGTAGGTAGTAGGTAGTAGGTAGTGGGTAGTGGGTAGTAGGTAGTAGGTAGGAGTAGTAGTAGTAGTAGTAGTAGTAGTAGTAGTGGTGGTGGTGGTGGTGGTGGTGGTGGTGGTGGTGGTGGGAGCAGCAGCAGGAGCGGGAGCGGGAGCGGGAGCGGGAGCGGGAGCGGGAGCGGGAGCGGGAGCGGGAGCGGGAGCAGGAGCAGGAGCAGTGGTGGTAGTAGTAGTGGTCGTAGAAGAAGTAGCAGTAGTAGTAGTAGGAGTAGGAGTAGGAGTAGTAGTAGTAGTTGTAGTTGTAGTTGTAGTTCTAACCTTTATTGGGGTAACGAGTCGTGTGTCATCTGCGGGAGGCTAGGTCTTTGCTGGAGCAGGCTCACCCCACAAGACATGCTATACAGCAAGGCACACAGGTGCCTGCTCTAGTAGGAGGTCTGACCTTTGCTTTAGACCTCAGCCAGGCGTTTGACACAGTCTCTCGCCAAGAGATTATCGGTCTCCTTCAAAGAGAGGGAGCCGATCAGGACACAGTCCACCTCGTTCAAGCTTTTCATGACGGATCCAGATATGTCCTACATGCCCAAGGCGACTCCACTTCTGTCGAAACTACGGCAGGCATAAAACAAGGATGCAAGCTCGCTCCCACCCTTTTCTCGTTCCTCACAGGTGACCTCTTCCGGTCTCTGGTTGATCTGTTTGGTGCTGAACAGGTTCTGAAGTTTTTGACGGGCTATGCCGATGACCTGACGCTTCATAGGACTATCCGCTCTGAGAAGGACCTCAAATCCATCCATGCACTTATAGCTGCTCTGTTGGAAGAGGTCCGAAAACATCGCGTCAGAGTCAACATCGGCAAGTGCGTCATTTTGGTAAAGCTGGCAGGTAGAGAAGCACAAAATGTGATGAACAAACACAGCTGCTGGATTACCAACCCCAAAGGAGAGCAAGTCCGAGGGTGGCGCATCGGGCCCAACAAGTCGTTCCCTGCCTTCCAGTGGGTCTCCTCAAGCAAGTACTTAGGTGTTATGGTTTCCTACAACCACTTCGAGTTGCAGACTCTGCATTTTCGGATGGGGGAGGCAAAGCAAAAGTTGCATCAAGTTCGCCAATTCGTTTACAACCGAAGGTATGCAAGCACCATGTCGCGCCTTAAGGTGTGGCAGAGTACCGTCTTGGAGCACCTTGACGACTGGCCTATCTGACGTCGGTTTAAGCGAAGAGTCAGCCAAACAGCTTCGCAGCTGGCACGCCTACAAGGTACGATCAGTGCTGAACCTGCCGGCTCACACCACTCGGATCACCATCAAGGATCTTTTCCAGCTCTACAGCATCCAGGACCCTGTCCAAGCACTGCAGTCTAAGCTAAGGAAGCGGCTTCGCAAACTGGAGCGACGAGCAGCGCAAAGCCCGGACATCACGACAGCCCCCTCGGCTCTGCAGGTCATCCGAGACAAGCTGTTGGTCCTGTCACAACTTCCTGAGCCTGAGGAACATCCGGTAACCTCATATGCGTGCACGCTCTGCGCGGCCTCATTTGAGACAGCAAACGGATTACATTTGCACAAGTCGAGGGTTCATCCGGCGAGCATCGACCGCCTTGTGCCTTCAAGCTTCGATAGAAAGCTCCACGCAGTGGATGGGATGCCGCAATGTGCGGCATGCAAGCGTAAATTCCATCAATGGAAAGGCCTACGTGACCACTTGCTGTCGGGGGCATGTCCGGAGCCTCAGAAGCTTCGTTCACTAAAAGAAGCAGACAAACAGTCCAGTCATCCTGATATTAGGACTCTCTCCCAGCTGCGACAGGACATTGCTCTGCTCCCACAACACCGCATCGCGGAGCTCTCGAGGACTGCGGATTCTAAGGTCCTCAATCACCGGTGCTTAACGTGTGATTTCTGGACTTTTGACCACACCAAAGTCAAGTCGCACTTTCGTCAGGCGCATCCTAAGGACTGGTCACGCCTACACAGGCGGGCTGCTAATATCTGTCAGGGCTACTCGCCCCAGTTAGCCAAGGGTCATCCATGTCCCTTTTGTGTCTACAAGGTCTATGACCGCAGACTGCACCCGGAGCAGTGTCCGGTGCTCTATCAGGTAAGCACGCAGTGGCTGCGAGGACAGCCTGAAGCAGATGTCGATCCCGTTGCCCCGCCTCCCAAGCCTCAGACAAAGTCGTTGGCCAGCTTTTTTAGACCTAGGTCGAATGGCACAGCCTCCAACTCGCCGAGCACAGCTCGTCATCCTACAACAGACTCGAACCAGGAGTCTGTGACGCAGGTCCCCAGGAACACAGAGCCACAGCCCACAGGCTTGCACAAACGTGTCCTGTCTAACACGTCAAACTCCTGCTACGCTAACGCTCTCTTCCAGGCCTTGCATCAAGTCTCGAGCTTTGGGTATGATCTGGGTGCTTTTCAATCTGTCTTAACCCATCTCGGGGATGAAAGTGCCCCCAGACTTCTGAACTTATTCGGCCTGTTTGAATTTCGCCATGCCATTGCCGGCTGGCGACTGGACGGCAGGCAACACGATGTCTCAGAATTTCTTCACCATCTGCAGCACAAGCCCATGGGATCCCTTCAGCACACTCAGTGGCAAGGTCGTACTGGGGGAATCGTAGAAGAGTCGGATGTGGGAGTCAGCCCTCTTCTCCTTCCCCTTCCGACGGGAACTCTGTCTCTCCAAGCCTGCTTAAGACTCTGGGAATCTCAAACCTTTAGTCGCGCGCTGGTATGGGCCCCAGAACTCCTAGCGGTTGTGATTTGCAGATGGCAAGACGGGGTCAAGAATACCCAGCCGTGCGCCTGGAGCGGCCGTGCCATGGTGTCCGTGTGGAATTCCAGCGAGCACCGTGCCCAACGACCCTACCAAGTCCTGGCAGGAGTTGCCCACTTTGGGGACTCCCTAGCGTCCGGGCACTACCGAGCCTTCTGGCGCGGATGCGAGATCTCAGGTGTGGATTTGTGACGACTACAAGCTTCCGGAGAGGGCCTCAACGGCCTTGGTTCAATCACTTTCTCGTAACGTCTACATGCTTTTCTTGCAACGAATTCGATAGCATCATCGCTTCAGGTGATGCATTCCGGCCCGACCTCGGCCCTCGGGGCTAAGCAGGGCGCCCGTGCGTGAGAAGCCTGTAGTCAATTTCATGTTGACACAGGCCGCCTCACGTCAAGGCCAAGTGCGTCATGAGCGCACGCGGACATGCACATTCTGTAATTTCCTTCCTCTCAAGCCTCTCAATCAGGTCTTTTTTATTTAGTCAGCTTCCCCTCAGCTCCCTTTGGCCGTCATGACTGCCTCGCCTGCTGCTGCCAAGAGTCCGGAGCACAAGCGCTCCCGAAATGGTCCCGAGTTCGAGGGCGCCCCAGCGATGGACACCTCTGAGGAACCGCCACTAGAGTCTCTCTCGCCGGCGGCCAAGGCTGCTGCATTGCCGAGACAACGAGATCAATCTGGCCGGAAATCCATCCCCCATCAGCGGGGAACTGGGGTGGGCCAGGGGTCCGAGCAGGGCTCCCAGCCCCGTGCCCAAACGGGCGCCATCCAGGCGCTTAGCCCTGAGGAGCTCACCAAAGCCTTCCTGGTGCACGATGATCAGATGAGCCTCTTGCAGCATCAGTTGTCTCTGGTCTACAAGCTGCCCCAGGACCATCACCTCTCGAAGGCTCTGCTGGCATCCGTAAAATCTTGGCAAGGCGGCTTGAAGCAGTTGCGCCAAGGAGAAGCTCACTCTGAGGGATCCTGCTCGAACGCCGTGTCCGTCGTCCTTCTACATGAACTCACCAAGGGCAATCCCCCCGAGCACGTGGACAAAACGGAGTACGGTCGGTTACTGAAGGTAGTTGATTCCATGATCAACATTACCACGGACAAGACCAAGCTGGCCCAGGACATTGTGCACTGCTCTGCTAGGCCGGACAAACTCAAAACGCATGTCATCCTGGACTTCAGGGTGGCCATCTACTCGGATCTGATGCCACATCTCTCCTTACTCGCCTCCCTCTTCGATTCCTATGACGACTTCGAGCGCTTGGGAAGAAAGGCGCCAGGAGGATTGGCCCGAAAGGCTCGAGGCAGACCCTGAGATTGGCCTAGGTCCAGCACACAGTGCCAACGGTCCTTCAGCACAGCTGATGCACTAGTTTTGTCTTGAGTGCCTGGAAACTTCCAAGCTAGGCCGGCCAGAAGCGCACAGTGCCGCATGAATTCGGCACAGCCGACACACTTCTCAGCTTAGCAAGGATGCGCACCTTGCAGCTGGGAGCGTACGGCAAGCTTACGCTGATTCTTTCAACAAAGTTCCACAAAATAATGGGAGCCCTGGGTGAGCTTTCTCGGCTTCTTGCAGCTCTTTCAGCCTGCACTTTGGTTGCATCAGTTTGGCTCGAGACTCCAGCAATCATGGACTTCTCAGTTCTTGCGGATCTGCCGGGCCGGATCAAGTCCCACACTTTCTGCAACGTGTACGTCAGCTGGACGAGATTCTCAAGCGAAAGGCCTCGCACATATCCACGGACCCTGGAGGAGCAGGATGTGCTGGAACTTATCCCTCGCGGACTAGGTCAAATGGAGGTCTCCGGAGCAATGTGGTTATGTTGCCTCCACTGTCGAAAGCACAACCGCAATGTTCAGTTCAGCACTGGCCACGGCATCAAGAACCATTTTGTCACGCAGAAGCATGACCCTGTGCCACAGCCTGCTGCACAAGGAGTTCGGGCGGCCACTGCCTCTGCGCCCTGCCGCCTCCGAAGCCCGCGCCACCACAGGAGATCCCTCTCCCTCCCAGCCGTACCCGCACCAAAGGGATTGACAAAGCCGCCGGCTTTGAACCTCCGCCTTCCCCTCCCTGCCCCTTTACCTCCACAGCGGCAGAGAAAGCGGCTTTCAAGGAGAGCCAGGCGAAATCACAGGTGGTGACCCCCGCCCTTCCGGCTAAGGCCCCACCAGGCACGGCGTCTATCACCAGCCCCCCGCCCCCCGCCAGCTCCTCTTTGCCTACGGCGCCAGCTCCGGCTTCCCCTCATCCCCCCAAGGCAGGCTCCCCTCCTCAAGAGCAGGCAGCGCAGGCTTCCGCCTCCCAGCGTAGTCTCACGCCTCCCCCCCCCTCCTCCCGCCCCCCGTCAGCTTACGAGCCCCCGGCAAAGAATGCTCAGCCAGTTGGCTATGTTCCACAACCGGCTCCCCAAACGGTTGTCAAATATACCAGGTTGGAGCTCGCTCAAATGCTGAGCTCCCCATCTCACAAGGACTGGATTCGAGCACTGGCTTCCATCAATATTCTGGTGGCCCCGGTTATTCTTGGAGGTCTTACGGTCTTACCAACCAGGAGCAGCAGAACCTCTGGTCCACACGGGTGGAGGCTCTCAGCCAGGTGCCTCCGCTTTTCTCAGCCATCAAGTTGGTAAGGACTCAGTCCGGCCTCACCTGGGATACTGCCATGTCTGTGCGCAGAGTCCTTACCAACGACGGACGAGTCACCATTGCCACAGGCTCTGGAGAAGCCTACCAGGAACTGGACGCCCCAACTAAGGTGCATGGTCTAACCCATGCATGTTTCAACAGGATGTGGGATGAGAAGGAGTTCCAACGCCACTTCCCCACGCGGATCGAGTTCAACATGATCGCCACTTCCATGATGACGGTCTATAACGAAGCGGCAAAATCAGCTGGACTCCCAGCCAGGATGTTCAAGCTCAAACCCATGAAAGATGCCCACTCCATCATGAAGATGCGGATTCAGCATGACAAGGGGTTTGAAGAGGACAAGCGTATGGCTCGTTTGGCTGCGGCTGCTGCACCCAACAAGCGCCCGCAGGTGCGGGAGGCTGACACTGAGGGTAAACGCCAACGCGATGCCCCCTCGTCCTCCTCCTCGAGCCAATGGGCAAGACCGGCACGCCCATCTCAGGAGGAGATTGGGACTGGTGGCAACAGTGGTCCTGGCACGGATACTATCAGTCTTCACAGCAGTGGCCGCAAGGTCACAATCAGTGAATTTAGGGATATTTAGGGCAGTCACAGACTCCTCAAATCCCGTATGGCACAGCCTCTGGGAATTCGGTGCTCTTCCGACGCTTTTGCAAATCTCTTCGGGAGCTGTAGTGCAGAGCGCGAGCCACGGCAAGATACAGGATTCTGCACTTCGCCTGAGCCGATCAGGTCAGTCAGCTGTCAGGGTTCGACTCACTCAGCTTTGCAGGTACGCACATGTGACCCTTACGGCCTTCTGTCTCCAGCATGAGTAATCCGTGTGGGACGCCGCGAGACGGATACTCAAGGCGCCGGCTTCGCCCGAAGTACGACCTAACTGCTGAGACAGGTGCACAGACGGACGCGTCTGTTCACAACAAGGTGGCGGAGGAGGAAGCCATAGTCGCAACTTTAGTCAACTGAGTAGATTGAGAGGAATGAGCGATGAATGATAGCAGGTAACCAGTTTCACGAGTGCACGGGACCAAAGGCGCCCGCAAAGCGCAGAGCACGCTCGCGCAGCGTTCAATTGAAATTGTAGTTGTAGTTGTAGTGGTGGTAGTAGTCGAGGTAACCGAGGTAGTAGAGTTAGAGGCAGAGGCAGGGGCAGGGATAGGGGTCGGGGTAGGGGTAGAAGTGGCGGAAGAGGCAGAGGTAGGGGTAGGGGTAGAGGTAGGGGTAGTGGTAGTGGTAGCAGCAGCAGCATCAGCAGCAGCAGCAGGAGTAGTAGTAGTAGTAGTAGTAGCAGTAGCAGTAGCAGTAGCAATGGCAGTGGCAGTAGAAATAGCAGTAGCAGTAGCAGTAGCAGGCAGTAGCAGTAGCAGTAGCAGTAGCAGTAGCAGTAGCAGTAGCAGTAGCAGTAGCAGTAGCAGAGTAGTAGTAGTAGTAGTAGTAGTAGTAGTAGTAGTAGTAGTAGTAGTAGTAGTAGTAGTCGTAGTCGTAGTCGTAGTCGTAGTCGTAGTCGTAGTCGTAGTAGTAGTCGTAGTAGTAGTAGTAGTAGTAGTAGAGGCAGCAGCAGCAGCAGGAGCAGGAGCAGGAGCAGGAGCAGGAACAGGAGGAGGAGGAGGAGGAGGAGTAATGGAAGTAGTGGCCCAGCACCAGCATCGGCTGGGAAATATCTCATCCATCTCCTCTTCGTCACAGTATCCGTCGTGGCACCAGGACCCGTCGTCGAAGTTGGCTCACTTCCTTGGCTGTGAGGCCTTTGCATCGGGATCATGTTCGGGACTTGCAAGCTAGAAGTCTCCGTTTTGAGCTTTCGTGTCCGAGGAGATTCCCTGGATAGCTTTTGCACATAGCCAACCGAAGTACGGTGGAAGAAAACCCAACAAGGCGTAGCCCTTGCTCCAATCCAATGTCGCAATCCTTTCCACAAGCTGCAGCTCTGACTTTCAGGGACAAGGGCTTTCAATTCAGGGCTTTACCTTGGCGTGCAGTCGCGTTTCGACCTTGGCAAGCTTTTGCGTTGTACGGCTTTGCGAAAGCTTGACTGAAGCTTCAAGACTGAACATGGACTTGACGAGCACCGAATCAAACAGTGCATCGACTCCGTTCACCGAGAAAAAAGAACGCGAAGGCTTTCCACAAGCCCCTAGAGCCAAAGCGAAAGCGAAAGCGCTCTCAGGTTGACCAGCTGAAGAGCCGCTCGTTGGACGAGTTTCTGGCTGAGTCAGATCGCCAGAGATTTCGTTCGCCACCAGTTCGCAATGAAGAGGTTCGCTTCCGCCACCCGTGCTGCTGCAGCTGCAGCAGCTGCTGCTGCTGCTGCTGCTAGTAGTAGTAGTAGTAGTAGTAGTAGTAGTAGTAGTAGTAGTAGTAGTAGTAGTAGTAGTAGTAGTAGTACGACTACTGCTACGATTAGTACTACTACTTAGCTACGACTACGTCTACTTCTGCTACGACGACGGCTACTACGACTACGACTACGACGACGACTACTACTACTACTACTACTGCTGCTGCTGCTGCTGCTACTACGACGGCAGATGTGACGGCGCAAAGTTTTTCAACCCTAAACACGACTTAAACCCCTAAACTCGATTATTCGAAACCTGAGGGTACCCTTCTTTGATCCTTCTGCTTCTGCTTTTGCTATGCTCTGATCACTCAGCTGTCGGCCCATTTCCTTCGACTTAGGCTCACCGAGTCCTCAACGCATGCCTTGGAGCTCGGAAAGCGGCAGCAGTACCACGCGCTGGCAGCAACGGTGTCTTTGAATGTCGCGAACAGGTTGGAGCAGAAGTCCTCCTTGTAGTGTAAATCATGCGTCAGCTTTCTCAAGGTCGATGTCGAGAATTAAGCTGCCTGTTTTGGCCCTCAAAAAAAGGCAAAGCCAAAAACGCTCCTGGGGTGGTTCACTGAGTGGAGTAGGTCTGATGTAGGATTGCGACAAACACCGAAGCTGCGACCGCCCTGCAGGCAAATCGAAGTGAATCTGCGACTATGCAGTGTGCCCGCTCTCCAAAGCGATGGCTACTTCTTCCTGGTAGCGCTGAATCTGGTACGTAGCGACATATTCGATGCTGACAGCATGGATCCTGGGGCCATCAGTGCAGGTGAGGGCAATGATTCCTCACCCTCAGATACTTCCCCAACACACTGTGAATCAGCTTCCTTCGGTGGTGAGCTGTCTGCGCCATTGAACAAGCACTTGCAGTTCCATGCCCGTAATAAGGAGACTGCCAATGCCTTCAGCTCAGTGTCTGTGATTTTTGATTCACGGACACTTGAAGTATCCAACCTGCGAGTTTCCCTCAACATTGGAAGCTGGAAGCAGTCGGACCGGACCTTCTTGAAGAACTGTATCTTGGAGGATGTTTGGCCTGGGTTCAGCAGCTGGCTGAAGAGCTGGGGCCAAGGGCAAGTGACCAACTCTCCGCCACCCATCGTGTTATTCAGGTTTCCGCAATTACTGCGCATGCGCAATGTTCTCGCAGCCAGGCATCCGAGCTGAAATTTAGCCGGTATACAACCACAGCAAGTACACCAGAGACCCGGTCCTGACTGATGCATTTCGGGGGGACCCGTACGTCTCCGAAATACATTCCCTCGGTCTGGAAATGTATTTCCGGAGGCTTCGCTAACAGCGAAGATCCAAGGGTGTCCATGGGCGTTGATTTTTCATCGAATCTAAGTGTGAGGGAGTCAACCCACTGAGCAACCCACTACATAACAGCAATGCATGGTCAAACAAGTGAGTAGCCCACTGCATAAACAGCGACGCATCGTGTCTGAGACATAGAATGGCTGCCTTGTGGGTTTCTGGGCATTCGGGTACTGTATTTCACTCCCCCTCCCGAAACACATTTTTGCTGGGGTTCGCCCCGGACCCTAAGCTTCATGGCAGAGGCTGCAACTCGTAGCGTAGACTTCAGACAAGACTTGCTGCGGCTCAAGTGCACAGTAGAGCATTCAGGAAGGCGTCGTCATGGAGGCCACAGCAGGAGAAGACAAAAACAGGGAAGACCGCGATGCCTTTTTCGTCCTTAACCTGAACCTCTTGGCACGTCCTGTTGCTTCCCCACGAAACAATGTATGAATTGAGGGCGAAGCTGACCAACCACAGCGACACCAGCAGTCGCTACATTCATTGGCGTCATCGTCGAATTCATCGTCATCGTCATCACCATCATCATCAGTGTACAAACAGAACGCACACACACACAGACACGAAAAACAACAGCGTGCAAATGCACACACTTACGCGCTCTGAGAGAGAGTTGTCAAGAGCTCCACAGAAGGCAGTCGGATCTGAAGAAATGTCGGGGCGAAGATGGAAGACCCACCGGCGAGATCTGTCTGAGACTACGCTGCTCGCTGGCATAAAGACTCCGAGCACCTGCTCGGCACGCATGAATCGAGGCGTCAGAAAGCAATGAAACATTGCATAATTGGCGTTGCTTCCAGAAGTCTGTCCTGTTGCAGCCTGAGGAGACATTCGTTTGCGCAAGGTGCTCCGGCGTGGCAAATTCAAGAAAAGGTCTGATTCGGTGGCAAGCCGCGAGAGTATGTGTAGCGCAACCGCAGCAGTTCAGTCACCTAACTCGGGACGTAAATCACGTCTTGCAGATTTGTCTATTGAGCTGCCTTCGTCGTAGTATTTTCAAGCATTCTCCTGCACTACAGCGGCGTACAGTCCGCAACCTACTTGAGCAGGGCGTATATAGAAGTCATCGAGGTGGGCGGGCTACAGCTTCCGCCCTCCTTACGTTGCAGCTTGGTAATCAGGCTGCATGCAGGAAGCCTCGTGGTCAAGCCCACGCACCTGCATCACCATCTGTGGATTTCCCGAATTGGGGGATTCGACCTCTCTCACTTCTCGCAGCATTTCACGTCAGTGCCGCAGGTCTGGGTGATGTGAAGTCTCAGTACCTGTCTTGCTCGGAGAAAAGGCATGAGCACCATGCCAGCCGGCCGTGCGGGTTGCTGGGCTGTAGTTTGCTGCCATCTCATGTGTCGCGTTGTGTTAATGTGTTCTTTACAACATGATCATGAGGATTCGTGCGCTGATCTCCCAAACTCAGACTTCAATACCTGAGGCCTGGACTGCATGCCCGCGCGCCGGCGCACTAAAGGGCCTGCACCCGAAGCAGTCTTCACAGAGACAGCCTGAGCCTGGCGGCGGTCTCAGGAAGTAACCCTCCTTCCAGAACTAATGCGCCGTTCAGTCTGGCGGCAAAGGGTCGGCTAGTAAGTTAAGTGATCTTCACGAGCAGGTTCGTGAGGCTGATAGGGATGATACGATTGGATGACGGCATTGGATACGGACGGTGACTCAGATGGAAATGAGGATCCTGCTAATGGGGTTGAGATGATCACCGTCGGTACTGTTATCAGTGTGGGGTTGACAGGAGTGGTGGTTTGAGCAATCGTTGTCAAGACTTCAACGGCCCTGGTTGATCTAGTACTAGCTGTGTTCACAGCTATGTTAGACAAGTTGTAATGCCGATGACCACACGCCCTGCGTTACGACACCTTGAGGTCTCGGCTCAGGTCTTAAGTTGCTCATCCGGATAAGTGGTGAAGATTTCAAGGCCCCAGAATGTGAGCTCGATGTTCAGGGCTTCTCAAGTGCGAGACTTCCTTCCCCGCTAAGGGATCCTCTCGCAGCTACCGGACAGAACTTTGCCGAGGCCGTGGCCTTGTCATTCTGCAGGAACCTCTCGTCCTGAAGTCTTGGTAGGGAACCACGGGTGATGCTATAAATCCCGAAGTACCCATATGTACCATAGTTTAGGGCTTTTAAGGAAATATAGGGTTCGTATCATCAACAGTATGTTTGAATGGCAGCCAAGTCAAGCGCAGTTCCCTTTCCTCACGATGAAAGTGTGATGCCGCAAGACCAACTCAATCGCTGTCCAGTTTTGCAGCAGTGTGCAACTCAGCTTCGAAAGTCTCAGGTTTTCAACGCAGGCACTTCCATCGACTGATGGCTCTGGCCTTCGGCGAGACCGAGATTGAGGTGGAATCGGGGAGGTCTAGGAGAGCTTGTGAGATGGCCTTGTGGTTTCCCCTGACAAAGATCTCGCGTCATTCCGGCATCGCTTCAGTGCTCAAAGCTCGTCACTAGCTCAGCGAATGGTGCTGACATGGCTGTGACCTCGGATCCTCAGGCAATTGGTCGGGGCTCATCGGGGGAGGAGGTAGAAAGCCAGGGCAG